CACACAAAATAAAAAAAAAAAAAAAAAAAAAAGAATTGTGCTGTCAAACCAAAGTGTGCAGTTCAAATCCAGCGAAGAAAGATGGGTAATCTCCTCCCATGCAATTTATTTACTGTCTCTGAATACCCATTGGAGGGTCAGCTATGGGTCAGTTCCAATTTGACAGCACCTAACAGCAACACAATCTATGCCATGCTCAAATCCATTATTGCAGTCACTAACTCAACTCATCTTGAGAGTCTTCCTCTTTTTCACCGATTCTATTTTCCAGCATATCTTTTTCCAAGAACTGGCTCCTCCTGACAATGTATATGAGATGAAATTTCACCATCTTTGCCTCTAAAAAACAACCTTAGACAGATTTGTTTGTTCATTTTGTAGTCTAAGTCAATACCCTAATTTAAAGGAATCAATTAATGTAGGTCATCACATCAATTAAAGGTAAAGGAAAAGGGGGGGAACCCAAAAAACCCTCCCCCAAACCCCTCCCCCATGATGTCCCTTTCCAAGGACTGGCCCCTCTTAACCACATGCCCATGGTATGTGAGATGAAATTTCACTATCCTTGCCTCCAAAGAACACCTTGGATGAACCTTTCTAAGACATACTTATTTGTCCTTTTGAAAGATTTTTTTTTAATGGGAAAAAGAAAAATATTATAGGTCTCAAGAAAGGTGTGCATCAGAGATGGATCCTTTCTCCCTACCTTTTCAATCTATATGCTGAAAAGATCATTCAAGGAACTGGACTTTACTAAGATTGTGGCATCAGGATTGGAGAGAGACTCATCAACAACCAGCATTATGAAGATGACATAACCTTGCTTGCCCCAAGTTAGGAGGACTTAAGGTGCTTGCTGCAGAATATCAAGCACTACAGCCTTCAATAAGGATAACATCTCAACATTGAGAAAACAAAAGTCCTCATCACTAGGCCAGTGGACAGCACAGTAATAGATGGAGAAAGATTGAAGTTGTCAATGATTTCAGGAAATCAAAAGATGAGTTGCATAGAAAATGTTCTGTAAAGATCCTCTCCAGAGTACTAAAGAATGATGTCAGTCTAAAGACTAAAGGTGTGCTTGGTCTTTTCAAATACTTGTTTTGCATCTGAAAGTTAGATAATGAATAAGGATGACAGAAGATGAATTGATACCCTTGAGTTGTGTGGTGTTGATTAAGAGTAATGAACATCCCATGGATTACCAAAAGGACAAACAAGTATGTCTGGGCCATTTACGTAGATACAGAGAAAACGGTCAGGAGAATGTAAAATCTCAGTGACACGTCACACACTTTACAGTCCCCTCACCAAAGCACAAAACCAACACCTTTTTATATCCACCAAGATAATTTTAAATGTGCGGGGAGGGGAGAAGGAAGCTAACAAAGGGAAGAATCGGAAAGAGATAGGAAGATTGGAACCTTCAGCCATTCCTTGCTAGCAGAAATATAAAATTATGGAAAATATAATTTCACAAAAATTTAAAAACAGCCATTCTTCTTTTAGGTATATAAAGAAGAATCAAAAATCAGTACTCAAATACTTGTACATGTATGTTCAGAGCAACACTCTTCAGAAATCAAAAGATAAAAACCTAATTGATGAATTAAAAAAAAAGTGACATCTCTATGTAAATTAAGTCTTATTCATTAAGAAGACTTAACTACTAATGTATGCTACTACAATGACAAACTTAAAAAGATTACGCGAAATGAAAGATGTCAAACGGACAATGTCACACATTAAATGATTTTATTTATGTGAACTATGCAGAGCAGAGAGGCCAGAGACAGAAAGCAGAGTAGCAGCTAATAGGCGCTAGGAGTGGAGGAAATGAGAAGTGCTACAAATGAGTATGGAATGATGAAAATGTTTTGAAACTAGATATATGTAAAAGCATTTAAATTACTAAATAGAATTGAATTTTACACATTATGCGATTTCACCTCAATAAAATCAGAATATGACAGTAGTTTTTCCTACTAACCCGATGAATAATTCCAGCAGAATGTAGGTGCTTGATTCCGCACAGCATCTGATAGAGAAGGTAGGACATTCTTTCATGATCTAGTTCCATCTGAATCACTTGGCAAAGATTTGCATCCATGAGCTCCATGACTATGTAACTTCATGGGTGAAAAAAGATGATAGCTAAAGTGTGCAGCAACATACTAAGAATATGTACTATCAATAAAATGTTAAATATCACACTTACACATCTTGAAATTCTTCTAGGGATTTCTGTGGTGTGAACACATTCAAAAGGCCAATTATCTGTGGTAAACGCAGATAGGAAAATTAGAAACTGCTTTTTAATATTTTCATTTGATACATGCAAACAGATGGTTAAAAATTCTACTAGTTCAAAATATTTTAGATTTTATTTTCTTAATTTATATAATCTCTCCCTTATTTTTAGATAACATTTTATCATCAGAAGTTTCACATGTACAGAAGACTCAGATGTTAACTGGAAAATTAGAGGTTTAAGACCACTCAGAAGGGCACTGGAAGAAAGGTTTGAGGATCTTATTCTGAAAAATCATAGTTACTGAAAACCCTAAGGAGCTCAGTTCTGTACTCTGATAGAAGGGAGGTCTACATAAGCTGGTGTCAATAGGGGTTACTGGTTTAAGTTATGTAAGCATCTCTATTATTTGTTAGAAAATTTTAAACACCTTCCACTAGCTTTATTCCACACAATAGCTATCTTCTCAGCCCTTTCTCCCTCGTTTTTCATAAAACTGTACACTGTGCCAGTACTATTCAGTCTCAATCTTCCAGTGATTCATCCACAGGCATGTGATGTGCTCTTATCAAGTGTGTTCAATATGCAACAGCAAATCTACTGAAAATTGTTCTGTATCTTTATTTTTTACTGTTATGACTTAAGTCTTTTTTTCCAGTTATCGCTAGATAATCCTAAACATGCACTGAAAGCTCATGCTTACCTAATGCATATTGCCACTTCCCATACATTTTTCATAAACAATGTAACATTGAAATCAGTATCATTTCCACTGTAACCCCTCTCCAAGGTACTTTTGTCTTTATACAATAAAAGAATGAGAATAAATTTTTAATATTATACACTATAATACTAAAGCTCTTCAATTTTCAATCTCAACCTCAATCTCTTCTTTGTATTCCCTGAAGTATTTGTACAGAATTTCCCACATAGGCTGAGAATTCTAACATCTCATCTAGACAGTTCATGCTATAATGCTTAGTTAGAACTAATCTTCCTACTAGATGCCAGTTTACTGTCTGTAACACGATATAACACAGAGCTGATCATACATAACTTTTCAATAATGTTAAACTAACACATTTGAAAACTCTAGCAGTACATTTAGGGCTTTCCATGGTATCATTCCATGTAGACTGTCTGATAATCTCTCTGTTAAATTGTATAATGTGACCATACGAAATTAAGTGTAAAAAATGTGTTTGAAAAACCTCAACACCTTTAAATATTCTGTTCCTTATTTTTGTGATTTAGATAAATCAATTTATTTTCTAGAGATGTCTCTTATGGAATCTGACAACTCCTAAATCCTTAATAAAGCTTGTATTTAACTCTGTTTCTAGAGCACTTATGTTGTTATGATGTTCAACACACTGCAGTACAGTCTCATTTTCCACAATACTTCTGTCCCTACACTTCTAATTCTTAAAATTAGTTCTTATTCACATTTATTTATACTTCTACTATCTGACACAGTTTTAAAATATGTTTGCTGACTTATTTAAGGACAGAAATGCCATTTTAAACATAAACTGCATCTTACTCATTTAACATGAAACTTTGGTGACAGAAGCCATATCTGTTCAGAGAGTAACTTGGAAAATTATAATCAGCCTGTTGTTTGTTGTTAAGTGCCACTGAGTCATTGACGACTCATAGCAACCCTATAAATAAGAGACCTGAACACTTGTGTAACGTTCATTGTTTCCCCAAGTTCACAGAGTTTCTGGAGGCAAGCTATTTTGGAAGTGGATGTTTCCAAGCTTGTTTTAATCAGGGAGCTCCACCAAACACTGTCCACAATGGGTAACCATTCTCGCATTTGACACCTCAGTGTTTAGCATCACAGCAACTACAAGTTACCTCTGTACAGCAAATGGACAGACCAAAATCAGCCTAGAAAGACTAAAACCATTTGTTTGTGATAGAGAAAGCAATGAAAAGAAAGTAGCTACTCTAAATGACCTCAAGTTTCCTAACCAGATAAAATGCACATGAAAAAGTTTAGGTAAACTAGTAAAACGATTCTCATTAACATATGGAAAATCCAGAGTGTTGAGAGTTGTCAAAATGTAAAGGCATAATGAGATAGAAAATAAATTACTTGTGGTTGCTTAGAATTAAAGAGTATGAAGATAGTAGCTAAAGGATATGGTAACAAATTTTTGAGGTAACAAAAAAATAAATATTTTAGAATTGATGTTGTAGTGGTTGCACCTATATGTGAATATACTAAAGACTACTGAACTATACAATTTAAATGGATGAAATTTATGGTTTCTAGATTTTCTCAAGAAAGTTGTTACTAAAAAAGTAACTTAAAAAGATTAAAGGCATGCATTTCTAATGTTTCAAAAATTTTAAAATATTTTTAACCATTGTTGCACATTTTCTTCTCCTCTACACAACCCCCAGCCAATCCCAAAATGCACCTTTTCCAGATTGTCATACATCTAATGCCTACACATAAAATCCTTTCGAAAACTTCCCCTCATTCATTCAAATGCTGCGTTCATTATATATCCACTCTTGTACCATTCTCTACTCAAGCCCCTCACATCTGTCCTATTTTATAACAGCAGTATTATGCAATGTTTGTTCTTTTGCGACTGAGATATTTTCCTCAGTGGCATCCAAAAAATTATTAGAACTGTAAACCTGATACAGAACTGCCAGAAATACAAGCCAGGGTGAAAAGAAATCATGGTACTAAGGACATCATCATCAATGTCTGATAGATCTTGGCCAAAAGCATGGAGTTCCAGAGGAATGTCTATCTGTATTTCAAGAACTATGCAAAGGCATTTGACACATGTGGATCACAACAAATTGTGGTTAACCTTGAGAAGAACAGGAATCCCCAAAACACCTAATTGTGCTCATGCAAAATCTATACTTGGACCAGGAGGCATTCATCAGAACAAAGCAAGGAAATACTGTATGATTCAAAATCAAGGATGTGTCCTGCCTCCACACCTTTCCATCTGTATGAAGAACAGATTATTTGAGAGGCTGGGCTTTCTGAGGAGGAAAGTGACATCAAGATTCAAGAAATTCATCAGTAACTTGTGTTATGCAGATGACATAATCTTGCTTGCTCAAACTGAGGACCTTAAGCATTTGTTGTAGAGGGTCAAGGATTGTAGTCTGCAATATGGACGGAAGCTCAACATCATGAAAATGAAGATTCTCACCACACCAACTGGCAGCACCATGACAGATGGAAAAGAGATTGAGATTGTTAATAATTAAAACTCGCTGGATTCCATAATCAACATTCTTGGCACTAGCAGTCAAGAAATCAAAAGACGAATTGCATTAGAAAAAGCTGCCGTCAGGGATCTTTCCAAAGTGCAATGATGTCAGTCAAGAAACCAAGGTACACGGAGCCTGACCACAGTTTTCAAATTATATGCTATGTATCAGAGAGCTGGACAATGATGAAAGAGGACAGAAAAATTGTGATGCCTTCGAGTCGTGGCACTAGAGAACAGTACTGAACATAACATGGGACTGCCAAGAGAACTAACAAAAATGTCTTGGAGAGGGTGAAAGCAAAATGCTCCTTGGACGCAAAGATTTTGAAACCCTGTTTCACGTACTTTGGGCATGTTGCCAAGAGGGACCAGTCTTTAAAGAAGAACATCATGCGTGGAAGAGTGTAGAAGAGGAAGACGCCAGATGAGACGGATTGACTTAAAGTTACTGAGGTAGGTCTCTCAGAAAGAGTGAGACTGGCACAGGATAGAGCAGGATTCAGAGCTATTGTGCATAGGGTGGTTATGAATCATAATCAACTTGACATCACATAGCAACAACAATGTCCTCCAAGTTCCCCCACGTTGTTTAATGTTTTATGTGTTCAATGTTTTTCAAGCCCATGTAATATTCCATTCTGTGAATGTACTATAGCTTTTTTATCCATTCGTTTGTTGATGAGAACTTGGATTGCTTCCATCACTTTGCTATTGTGAATAACACAGCAATAAATATGGTGTGCACACACCTGTTTGAGACATGCTCTGGTTTCCAGAATAGTACCAGAAGTGTATTGGGTCAAATGGTAGTTCTATTTTCAACTTTTTGAGAAAGTGCCAGACTCCCTTCCATAGGGGCTGCACCATTTTACATTCCCATCAACAGTGAGTAAGAGTTCCAATCTCTCCACAACTTTGCAAGTTTGTTGTTTGCTGCCATTTGAAGTTTGCTACTATTGCTGGGGTGAGATGATATGTCACAGCTGTTCTGATATGCACCTCTGACAGTGAGTGATTTTTAATATTTATTACTGTGTTTGCTATCTAAATGTGTTCTTTGCTGAAGTCTTTATATCCTGTACCCATTTTGTGATTCAGTTGTTCACGTTTTTCTTGTTGAGGTGCTAGAATATTCTATAATACTCCAGGCTTATCAGATATGTGATTGGAGTGTATCACTTATGTGACTGCTAAATATTTTCCCCAGTTTGTGAATTTCCTTCTTACTCTGTTGTAGAAGTTTTTTGATATGCACAGGGGTTAGATTTTTGAAGGTCTCATTCTACTATTTTATTGTCTCCTGATCCTAAGTTGTTTGTTATAAAGACTGCTCATGCTGTGTATTAGGGGTACTAGTGTTGTTCCTAGCTTTTCTCTGGTGAACTGTATACTCTTCGGCTTTACTTTTAGTCCCTGATCCACCTTGAGCTGGTTTTTCAGTAAGGTAAGCCAGGCTTAAGTTTCTTTTTCAATTTTGTCAATATCATTTGTTAAAGTGGCTGTCACTTCCTACTTAACTGACTTTGTTTCCTTGTCAAAGATCAGTTGATCATAGGTAGATGACCTGATTTCTGTGTTCTCAATTCTATTCTATTGATCTATGTATCTGTCACTGTACAATGCTGTCTTAACCAACACGGCTGTATAATAGAATTTATACAATTCTAAGATCAAGGAGTGTGATGGTTCCTACAGTTTCGCTTTTTCAGTCGTTTTTGTTTATTTGGGTCTATTTCCATTCCAGATAACACTGAAAATTTCATTTTCTA